CACTTCGTTCACTCGATTTTTTGATCATTGCCCACCAATTCCTAAATGCTGCTTTCAATTAATTAAACCTCGTGCCAACGTTCGCTGTTCCACATGATATGTTTATCTGACGTATTCACATAAATGATTACTCACTTGGTGTCAACGATAACCCGTAAAACACACGTGTTCGTCAAATGCAACTTCTCGACGATTTTCTTAAGTGTTTCCTGCTCTCAAGAAACAAACGAATGCAATAAGAGCACCTCACCTACCTCTTATCAAACCATTTCCTCAAAAATCAAATGATCAAATGCCCTGAACACTAATCAAAATCAAATGCGCACAACACTGATCAGAATCAAATGATCAAATGCCCCCAACAGTGATCAAAATCAAATGCGCTCAACTAAGATTGATATCATCCTTCGTTCCTTGCATAACACGTTTTATACAGATTGATCCGCTATTCAATGATTATTTTCATCCTTAAAGCTTTTCATTGAAATTTATCAGTGTGAACTTTATCGAGACAAAAATCGTTCAAATATTGATAGATAGGATTTGCGTCACAAAACGATCTGTTATTTCAGTTTTTACAAGATTCTCTAAAGCGATGTTAATTTATCTCGCAGCCAATCGGCTGTCTAAACCACAATAACACGAACATTGTATCATCCCATTATCACTCAACCTCTCTTCCCGATCTCAATGAATTCGTTCACTATTTCACTTTTCAATTCATGCGTTCGCAACATTTCTCCTGTTCTTCTTATCGCATTTCTTTTATGATAATGTAAACCTAACCGACAAAAGAAAATTAATGCAGTCTCGATTGCAATGCCAAGCTTCTTCAGTGAACGCTTTTTTAACATTTCCAATTTTCACTGACCGCAGAAGATGAACTGACTGTTTTTGGATCATCAGCTTGTGCCAGAAAGCGATGTCCAACTTTTTTATATGAGGAAACAATAACAGTGGATGCGACACTAGCTCATAGGCGGTCAAAATTCCAGGTCAACAAGGGTGATTTAGCTGATCGGAAGGCTTCAACAATGGAACTTTCATGATTATTGCTTAAGATGTTTGTGCAGACATGATGCACTATTGCGTATGCTGTTGAAAGTGCTCGATTACTTATTCAATGAAGTGATGATGTAGTTAATGAATTNCGTTTCATGCGTCCATTTCCTTCGAGCTGTCCTCGCAATGATGAATCAACCAGGGGTTGTCAGGGAGAAATATTAATTTTCCTCGTAATTTTTGTTGCTAGCTAAGAGTTTTTTTTTCTGATCGCTTATCCATTCTGAAGGTTTCATCGTTTCTCAATTTCAAAAAGCCTAGCTACACTGATCAAGCGGGTCCTAATTGCTTTTCAGAGCAACGACGGTAGGCAGCACTTTCAATTTCAAATGTTGAAGATGTTGTGCTGTTGTTATCGTAGAAATATCAGGAATTTTATCAGTCGTTCTTCTGTAATCTATTTGCTTTTACTAACTTCATTGACTATTATCACACTGTCAATGCTGGATATCGATGTGATCGGAACTGTTCACGAAAATCTTCGTAAGGGCCGAATTGATCGAGAGCAAAAACGGATTGCGAAGGTTGGCTTTTTGTGTTCAAAATTTAATGTTTGCACGTTTCATCAGGCTCTTTTTTTAAACTTACGATTAATGTTTAGATGAGATGTGTGACTGAAAAACGAAACGATTTTTTAAAATTCTTCTTGTCTGTCGATATTGCACCCTTAAGTAATTTCAAATATTCACTAGAAACGTGCAACTGAATAATGCAACGAGATCATAATCATCTCTGGAGATTGCTACAGTTTTAGGTTGTGAACAGCGTTCAAACAGATCCATATCGCTACAAGTGGACTCTGAATCAAGGCAACTTCTGTAACGCATATTACAGCGATCTTAAATATTTGATTGTCGTTCATTCTGCCACAGGCCACTTCGATAGAAGACGAATGCTGAGAAGGATCTATGGACTTCACTTCTATGAAACGGTCTTTAAAAAACATTCATTTACCAATGACCGTGATGACAGTCGTCCAAATTCACAAAACTGTCGCTTTAGTTTAGCTTGTCAGTAAATTCCACTTAAGAATTTCATCATAAACATTTTCTAAGGAACTGAATCCAGTCCGATATACTTATTGATGGTTGCCCTTCGAGAGGAGACAAACATGCACGTGGAAATAACTGAAATTATTCGTTTTCAGCATCGATGTGCGATATTATTCGTTCTCGGACAGCCCACTGAAAAGAGTGTTCAGAAACGAATTCACAAAGAGGCGTACCAGTATAAGGATATCATACAGCAGGATTTTGTTGATTCATATCGAAATTTAACGTGGAAGGTGAGCTGTTCGCACGGCCAATTACAAGCAAACGTTGACTTTTTGTTCGCTGATCAGATCAGTTTCGTATTGCGTATCTTATTTATAGGCTCTCGCATGGCTGAGGTTCGTTGATGAGCGATGTAAACGAGTGAAATTCATCATAAAAATCGATGATGATGTTATTTTCAATATATTCACTGTGATCGATTTCTTGAAATCGATTGAATCCACGCAGAAGGACGAAGTTGAACCGAGAATTATTTGTCGAGTGATCAGGAATCGAAAAATTGGAAGGAAGCGCGGAAATAAATGGTGCTCCATTGGATATTCTTTGTTATGTTCTTCATGAACATTCGACCATATC